ATGGGGCACCTATGGGATGGCTATGGGGCGGCTATGGGGCGGCTATGGGGCGGCTATAGGGCAGCTATGGGGCGGCTATGGGGCGGCTACGGGGCAGCTGTGGGGCAGCTATGGGGCGGCTATGGGGCAGCTATGGGGCGGCTATGGGGCAGCTATGGGGCGGCTATGGGGCTACACGGGGCTGCGGCCCCCAGTACCTTCGAGCCGCAGGAGGCGCAGGGTCGGGTCGGGCCCTGTGGGGGGGAAGAGAGAGAGGTGAGGGGCGGGGCTTGGGGAGGGCGGGGCTTAAAGGGGAGGGGCCTAACGGGGCGAGGACCAATGGAGGAGGGGCCTGAGGGGGTGCGGCACAAAGGGGGAGGGATCGAAATCTCCGGCGGCCAATGGGAGTGCGGCCTGAGGGGGAGGAGCCCGAGGAGGCGGGGTCCAGCGGGGGCGGGGCCAATGGGATGCGGCTCTAAGGGGGCGGGGCCGAACGGGGCGGAGCCAATGGGATGCGGGGAACGGGGGAGGCGTCGCTCTGAGGGGGCGGGGCCTAATGGGACGGGAGCCAATGGGGTGGAGATTGGAGGGGCGTGGGTCTAAGGGGAGGAGCTTAAAGCAGTGCTGGCCAATGGGAGCAGGGCCTGAGGGGGAGGAGCCTAACGAGGCGGGAACCAATGGGGGCGGAGCCTGAGGGGTGTGTGGCTCAAAGGGGGCGGGGCCTAAAGTAGTCGTGACCAATAAGGGCAGGGACGGAAGGGGGTGGGAACCAATGGGGAGGGGCCTGAGGGGGCGGGGCCTGCGGAGAGTGAACCAATGGGGTGAAGAGAAAGGAGGTTCCACACCCACGGGGCGGGGCTTAGGGAAGTGGGCGGGGCTTAGGGGAGTGGGCGGGGCCTGATTGAGGGTGGACCAATAGGGAGAAGAGGAAGGAGGGTCCAACCCTCACGCCCCAATCAGGGGGCGGGGCATCGCCCGGTGGGCGGGGCTTAAGGGGATCTGGGCGGGGCTTAGCGAGGTGGGCGGGACTTACCCTCGGTGTGGGCGGGGCCAGGCCGGGGCCCAATGAAAACCACATCGACGTAATCCATCTGCAGCCGCTGCAGGGCGCCGCGCAGCCCTGGGAGGGCGGTTATGGGGCAGCCCCACACATCCCGCCCCATAGATTCTTCCCTGCCCCACACGTCCCGCCCCATAGATCTTTCCCAGCCCCACACATCCCAGCCCCATACATTTTTCCCAGCCCCACACATCCCATCCCATAGACTTTTCCCAGCCCCATAGATTTTTCCCAGCCCCACACATCCCAGCCCCATAGATTTTTCCCAGCCCCACACATCCCAGCCCCATATTTTTCCCAGCCCCATAGATTTTTCCCAGCCCCACACATCCCAGCCCCATACATTTTTCCCAGCCCCATAGATTTTTCCCAGCCCCACACATCCCAGCCCCACACATCCCGCCCCACAGATCTTTCCCAGCCCCACGGCTCACCTTCCAGCACTTGTTTCCGTGACAGACCGCGGTCAGATCTGAGGGGGTGGGGGGAGAGATGGTGTCACCCCACGGCTGCCCCATAGCTCTGCTCTGTGCCCCATAGCTCTGCTCTGTGCCCCATAGGTCCCCCTTGTGCCCCATACCATCCCTTTCTGCCCCATAGCTCCTCCTTGCACCCCACAACATCCCTCTGTGCCCCATAGCTCGTCTTGTGCCCCATAGATCCTTGTGCCCCATAGCTCCTCTTTGTGCCCCATAGCATCCCTTCAAGCCCCATAGCTCCTCCTTGTGCCCCATAGATCCTTCTTGTGCCCCACAGCCCCATAGCTCCTCCTTCTGCCCCATAGCATCTCTCTGTGCCCCACAGCTCCTCCTTGTGCCCCATAGATCCTTGTGCCCCATAGCTCTGCTTTGTACCCCCATAACTCCTCCTTCTGCCCCATAGATCCTTGTGCCCCATAGCATCCCTTCAAGTCCCACAGTTCCTCCTTGTGCCCCATAGCTCTTCCTTGTGCCCCATAGATCCTTGTGCCCCACAGCTCCTCCTTGTGTCCCATAGATCCTTGTGCCCCATAGCATCCCTTCAAGCCCCATAGCTCCCCCTTGTGCCCCATAGATCCTTCTTG